CGGTCAACGTGCGGGACGTACTGGTGTTCAGGTCGTTGGACGCGGAGCAAATGGCCGCAGTGATCGACACGATGTTCGAGCGGGAGGTGCGCGCGAACGATGTGGTCATCAGGCAGGGAGACAAGGCCGACAACTTCTACGTGGTGGAGCACGGCACGTACGAGGCGCGGATCGCGGAAGACCATCGGGACGGCCCTTTGGTCGAGCGGGTGGTACGCACGTACGCGGGCGCAGGTAGTTTCGGCGAGCTGGCGCTTTTGTACAACATGCCAAGGGCTGCCACCGTGGTGGCCAAGACGGACGGCGTACTGTGGGTGATGGACCGGCGCACGTTCGGCCGCGTGGTGCGTAAGACGGCGTGCGACCGTCGCGAGCTGTTCGACCGGCTCATCGGGTCCGTGCCGATGCTGGACGCGCTCCAGCCGTACGAGCGCATGAATCTGTCGGACGCGCTCGAGCCCCGGTACTACCGGCACGGCGAGCTGGTGTTCGGCCAAGGCGGCCCGGGTGACGGCATGTACTTCGTGATGCGCGGCGCAGTTGCCGTCCACGTGACCGACCGGGTGGGCGTGCGCGCGCGGGTCAACACCGTGGCCGAGGGCGGCTACTTCGGCGAGCTCGCGCTCATCACGGACAACGGCCGTGCCGCATCCGTGTACGCCGTCGGCGACGTCAAGCTGGCGTTCCTCGACGTCGGCGCGTTCGAGCGTCTGCTCGGCCCGTGTTTGGACATCATGAAGCGCAACAGCGAACTGTACGAGCAACAGTTGGCCGCCGCTTTCGGTACCGACCGCGTCCCGTGACAACCGTGCGTCCACACCGGTTGGAGATGTCCGATCGCACTGTTGCATACCACTTAACCACGTAAACACGAGTTGTGGGCCCGTTGAAATTATAGCAGTTCAAATATAAAATGTTAAATAATCATTATTAATAATCAGTATTTATTATTTATACGCATATTTTTAAAAATGGTAAATAAATTTCAAAGCTCCAAAAATCGTTCAAATTTTATAAAAATATGAACGTCATTCACTTTCAAGTTCTATTCGAAAAAAGCGTATGAAATTATACAGTGTAATATACTGCTATAGTGTATTATAATTTAGTAATATAGGTATATATTACCAGTGGTCTATTGAAGGGTATATGGGTTGTATACGGCGTATACCCAATACGCTATTCTTATCCATGGCATATAGCTTATTAGAAAATGATGATACGCGAGTATACAGCCGTTTTTAGCGTATATTTTGTAATTTGACAAATATCTATATAATACCTTGACTATCTTAACTTGTGATTATATTTATGACGTGATTCGGTAGGTATCGGTCATATTATTATTATTATTATTTATTTTATTTTTTTTTTTAATAAAAAATTCAAATTTGTTATCCTTTAATGACAAGATTCTGCTATTAAACAGTCATAATTAAGGATGTGTAGTTCATGAGTGAGTTTTTTGGTTCCTACCATATAATATGGTAACTATTAATCATATTATGATAGTTACTACATAAAATAAGCCGTATACCCATGATTTATTTTAGCAATACATCACTGTATTAATATACATACCTACATGATATTTTTGATAGGTAATTTGTATTATTTATTATTAGATAAGTTATATGTCAAAGTTATTAATTAAGTAATATGCTAGGATTAAATTTTAAAAACGTATATTTTTT